GTTGGGATCCCAGAACCCGGAGGCTGCAGCCGGGCCGCCGCCAACCCCAGCCCTGCTGCTCCAACTCCCCCGTGTTCCCAGTGCCAGATCCCCCCGTGGCACTGCCATGCCCCCACTACGGCCAACGCCAACCCAACGCCACCTGTCCCATGGGGCTTTCACCCCTCTTCCCCACACAGCCAGGCCCCGCTCATGGCAGCGTCCAACCCTGCGAGCCTCAGGCAGCAGCAGCAAAGCCCTTCGCCCTCTGGCCGAGCCGGGAGCCATGGGCCTCCCCACTCTGCAGCGCGAGTTTAATTGCAACCACCACATATGTCTTCCCCATCCCTGTCCCCTGGGTCCCCCCAGCTCTGATGGCCCTGGCAGCTCACATCTGGAAGGGCTTTAGCAGGGCTCTGAAGAAAGCTTTAATAAAAGCCAGGTTGGCTGCCGCCAGCGCCACGGACCTTACCCCAAGCATGCTGCCTTCCCACAGCTGCTTGCCCCCGGTTGGGCAGAATCATCCCCATCCAGCTCCCTGCAGCAGCCGGCACAGCCCCAAATTTGGGCTAGTTCAGCTGGCGCCACTGGCCCAAGCTCCCTTGCAGCTGGGGCAGGTCCCCGTGCACCCATGGGGCACTGGACTGTGTCCTGGCCCCGGTGCTTCTCCAGCCCTGCCCGCTGGCACCCCACGCAGCAGGCAACACCGCCACACTGCCTGCTCCCCGCAAGAAGCAAAGCCGCGGACGATGCTTTGTCTCCCGGTGTGGGAGGATGGATGGGAGCATCCACCCACAGTGCCAGAGGCAGCTCCTGCCCACGCGGTGCTGGCAAACACCCCATCTCAGCTATCACCACCATCTCCTTCTCCAAAGCGAGCTGCCTTGCTCCAGCATGGCGCGGGGATGTCCCAGGCCAGTGGGGAACTGCTGGCCTGGGAGTCCCGGGGAACAGCCTCCCTGCCAGCACTGTACAGGGTGGCACAAGTGACATGCTGCTGTCCCAGACGTCAGCTTCTCTTCAGCAGCTCGGTGCTCAGCCGACTTCAAAAACCAGCCTGCGCCCATGGAAATGGCTCAGCCGGGTCACTGGTGCCTCTCTGGGCTGCTCCCTCCTGCATCTCATGGGACTCTCAGCAGCGGCGCAGCATTCATGCCCGGGCCAACATCTGCCATGGTGCCACACTCATCCACAGCGAGGTGAAACACCCCCTGGGCCCGGCTGCAGGGATGTGCCATCATCCCATTTTCCTAAATTATCCAAAGGTGTTTGCTTGTAGAACAAGGTCCCTGGTCGCAGACGGAAAGGTGGCAGCATGGCAGGCGATGAGCATCCCAGCAGCCCTGCAGAGCTTCGTGCGTCCTGGGGAGGGTCCGGTCGCAGGTCCCCCCCCCAGTCCTGCTGGTGCTTGCCTCCTGCAGCCCCTGCCTGCTGCTTGTCCCATGCATGGGGCGACTGAACTCAAGAGGACAAGGCCACATCGTGGGATTTTGTCCTCAAGGCACCTTTGAGCCGTGCATCACGGATACAGCTCCTGCGCGGGCAACAGCAGCCAAGACAGACCCAGGCAACGCCGGGTCCCCAGCACTCCCAGGTGAGGAGCTGGGACGGCTCCAAACCCTCGTGGTGGCTCTCCAGGGCCCTGAGCACTGGGATGCTGCGGCAGGGTAGGGGCTGCCAGGCTGGGCATGTCCCTTTATCGCGCCTCACACCCATGAGGTCACCCAACCATCAGCCCAGGATGAAGCCATCAGGAGCAAACTGGTGACTCAGCCGTTGAGGCCATCTCCGCCAGGGTCCTGGGGGGCGGGATCCCGGGGGAGCTGCTACAACCAGGGTTGCTTCCCATCAGCAC